CATGTTCGTTTTTGACTATAACCATTTAAAGAATAAAATGGAAAGGTATTAACTGTACATACTAGCAAAATGCATGTTTGTGAATACTGTATACAGGAAAACTGCAGAATAACACGCTGCTACTAAGAAGAGTTTATGCAACTTCATAACCTAAAAAAAGCCATTTTTATAGCTGTAGTTGTCCAAATAATGATTTCAATTTATAGATTGCCTTGGGCAGGCAATTCAGGTTTGCATCTGTAATGCAACATTTCCAATTCCTATTCTCACTCATTTCCCCATTTTATTTGTGTACACTATATACTATATATTACATAGTATATTCTTTGAAAATAAAACAGCAAATAAAGTAAAGCTGGAAATGTGCCTAATAAATGTAAAATGCGTGTTTAAAAAAATGCATTGTAGGTTCACCACAGGCTGTTCCTGAGAAACTCGTTTTTTACTCCCCTGAACCTCTGAGAAGGTCAGGAACATGAAGTTTTCTCTGAGGAGCATAACACTCAGCATGTTTATGAAGCTGCTGGTTGTTGGAACAGCTTTTACTGTGACTGCTGATACTGAGACAGTATGGCCGTGTTCCTATGGAGTGTATAGAGTAGACTTGTGCTTGCCTTGTCTTATGTTACAGGAACCCTCTAAGAGGGTTTATGTATCTAAGCTTGCAGACATCTTTTCTTATATTGCCACAGTTCACACCAAACAAGTTAAAATACAGATTTAACATTGAAAATAATAAAAAAAAATTCTTGAGCAGCAAGTCAGCATATTAGAGTGATTTCTCATGGATCATGTGACACTGAAGACTGGCTTTCAAAAAAATTCAGCTTTGCCATCACAGAAATAAATTACATTTCAAAATAAAAACAGCATAGCCTTGATCTCTCCTTTACTAGAGTCATACAGAAAAGCCTCCATCTGCATGACGACTGATCAAAAGACACAATAACCCCTTTTCTCTCTCTCGCTCTCTTTCAGCAGGGAGATGTTTGAACTACTGTGCAAAAGTGTGTGCAAACCCTATTAAGATGAATGAAAAAAGCTCACTAATCAGAAATGGAATGCAGGAATACAATCATATGTTCTTCTGATGAAGCCTTCCACTGCTCTGAATCCTTCAGAAGTCACTACAAGATTACCATAAAGTCCTCAGAAAAAAAGCAACTTTATTCAACACACATTCAACTAGCAGGCTGCAGTACTGAGACTTATTAAAACTGTTAAATTATGTATGGGAATCTAACAAACAACAGAGCAAGAAGGAGAGAGATATTTCTGTTCTTAAATTTAGGCACTCTTAACATTCTGTGTGAGGGGGAGACAGAGAGAGAGAGAGAGAGATAGATGTTTTTCAAAAACATACAAAAAATCTTCCCAATCCTATACTTTCAAACGGTAATATATATATCTAACATGAATCTGAGATTTTTTTATTTTTTATTATTATTTTTTGGATGACCTATTCATTTAACATACAGTATAACAGTGTGCATGTACCTTGCAGTGGCAGTGTCCAGTGGTCTTATTGCAGTCCGTGTCAAAGCCTTTACTGGCTTCACAGTGGCAGGGTCCACATGTCGGGCTGCCCCACCAACCCAGAGGACATTGCTGCTCGATCCTACAAACACACACACACACAGTTAGATTTGATCATATACCTATGTATCTAGGGCAGATCTGACATGGAGAGCGAGACAGTGCGACATAGAGAGAGATGGAGCCAACAGATAAAAGATGAGATGAGATTGCCGATGTTGTAAAGGATTTGGCTGAGCATGTGTGTGTTTGAGGTAGGGGTTGAATTAGGGTCACATGAGTCACAGTCTGTCGGTAAACTTAAGTCTACTTTCATCCGTTCAAAGCTAGCAAACCTTAAGCACACACGCACACGTGCAGCTAAGCAGAACAACTGCATTATTAACATGAACAAAAACTTATTCGCCATACACATCCAGCCTTTCGGATAAGCTTGAACACTGGATTAGTGTGACAGAAAACTCTCACACATGCACACAAATTCAGCCGTAAATCTGAATGCATCGATAAAGTCTTTGTCCATTTCTCACTGATTATCATACTGGTACATTTGCTTGTCAACTTATTAGAGATTATAGTCAGAATAAAAGTAACTGGGCAACAGGATAACCGAGGTATGCAGCAGAAATCCTTTTTTCAGTATTTTTGTCTTGTTTCCCAGCAAAAACTGAAAAATTGGAGAGACAGAGAGAGAGAGAGAGAGATGTTGTACGTGTGGGTTTACTCTACCAGGGGGAGGTCTGAGAAATTAATTCATAGTTTATGAGGGGAGTCTTTGATTTCTCTTTCTGCACAGCACTATTAATAACACTGGGCTGATGCAACTCTAACGGCATGATAGTGAAGTGAACTAGTCTGTATCTTCATTTAGATGTGATGGGAGCTCTTACCAACACAAGCACTTGTAAATGTATATCATCATGTACTCTGTTTGGGTGAACTATCAGACTGTTAACAGAAACCACCGACATGCTCTATGTATTATTAATACACATATATACTGTACAGACGTCTGACACCACACTGAAAACTGAAAAAAAAAAAAATACATGTGGGATTCAATAACCAATTTAGAAATAAGTAAAATTTTAGTATACTGAATGTTTTAAAACAAAAAGAAAGAAGAAAGTAAAATTTTGTGCTTCTAAGTTTAATCGAATAAGTAAATTTGTGATTGATCATGTGAACTCCTTTGTGCAGACAGCAAGATGTTCTTCTTCCACTGAAGCACAAGCTGCTCTTTGGATCTTTCTCAAATCATGCTGGAGAACATGATCACCAATATTTCACAAACTTGTAAAGTTCATGCAGCTCGAGTGCTGCAACTTTTCATTAAAATATATAAATTGGGCAACAGGATAACCGAGGTATGCAGCAGAAATCCTTTTTTCAGTATTTTTGTCTTGTTTCCCAGCAAAAACTGAAAAATTATGTTTTCTTGGAAAAACAAAATTGTGTAAAATAAAAAGACTTTTTTCCAGAGAATATAACTTGAAGTAAAATAATTTTTGTACTGTATTAGAATTAGAATAGATTTCTAAATAAAACAAGGGGGGAAATTTTGGAAAATAAATAAATAAAAAAGAAAGAAAGAAACTAGACAGCAAGATGTTCTTCTTCCACTGAAGCACAAGCTGCTCTTTGGATCTTTCTCAAATCATGCTGGAGAACATGATCACCAATATTTCACAAACTTGTAAAGTTCATGCAGCTCGAGTGCTGCAACTTTTCATTAAAATATATAAATTGTAATGAAAAATGCCATTAAGTTAGAAGATAGATCTTCTCTAGTGGTCTTAAACATTTGGACCCTATTGTATGTAAATTAAACATTTTAATTCTGTAGATTTTGTATCCAGTGATCATAATCCACATCTTACCTGGTTCACAAACACAGGTGTGTCTATCCCATTCATCAGTGCATTGGCTATGGGCGGGACAAGGGGAGGAGTTACAGATAACCGAGGCATGCAGCAGAAATCCTTTTTTCAGTATTTTTGTCTTGTTTCCCAGCAAAAACTGAAAAATTATGTTTTCTTGAAAAACAAAATTGTGTAAAATAAAAAGACTTTTTTCCAGAGAATATAACTTGAAGTAAAATAATTTTTGTACTGTATTAGAATTAGAATAGATTTCTAAATAAAACAAGGGGGGAAATTTTGGAAAATAAATAAATAAAAAAGAAAGAAAGAAACTATTAAAAAACTATTTTTTCCTAAATTTATCTTCTTTCAAGTATGTTAAAATATTGCTACTGAGCAGGACAAAAACAATATTTAAGAAAACATTTTTTTCAGTGCATGTAATGATTCAGTAGGGATGTGTGTGTGTGCATTTGTGCTCATGTAATTGTGCATACAAGTGGTGTGTATGAATGTGTACCTGTGTTGACAATACTGTCCATAGTGATTGTCCTCACAGTCACAGATATATCCATGTGAGGAGCTTGGCTTCCTGTGACACTTTGCTTGATTTTCACATGGGTTCAGCTGACATGCATCCATACAGCTTTTACCGTAGAATCCTGTATATGAAAAATGTAAACTGTTACAAAACAATACTTTTTTCAATGTTAAAGTACTTTCTCAGCCATTCTTAGGTTTATTTTACTGAAAAGTATAAACACTGTGACTAAACTTTTTGATCAAATAAATTTGATCAAACCCCTTGCTGAGCATCATAGACATCTTTAAAAAACACAAATAAAATGAATTATAATACAATTAAAATTATAATATTATTAATTAAATTAATAATAATAAAATTAATGTCCTTTTTTCTAATAAATTAAATGGAAATTATAATAAACACTATAAATGGGAATTTACTTGGTAAATGCTTTGCTGGCTGCACATTTGAAGGAACTTTAATATTATGTCTGTTATCTAAGTTTTCATTAATTATTAGTCTGCTTGTTAAAATCTAATAACACCATTAGGAATTCATAACTACCAATAATTCATAGATTAAAGAATGCTGCAGAAGCAGAAGTGTGGTGAGCACAGTTGAGATCAACACAGGTTATTATAAAAAGAGAATGAAAAAATGACTGAAAGTTACAAAGACGCACCTGAATGCAGCCACGTATCCCATTTTGCACCTCTCCTGACCCTAAAACTCCACCCACATGCAGGTGCTTCACCTTTACACCATTAATCTCATTCCCAACAATGACTGTTCCCTGTGACAGAGAGAGATTTGAAGAGAGGCAGAGAAAGAGATGGAGAGAAAGTGAGGTTATATTAGTCCATAGTGTTTAATCACTAGACCAGCGACCTGTGTCTGATTTGTAGTTTAATCCAGAAAGATTAGGATCCAATATTCCAGATTATGGATTACAACATGGGATTATAACAGTCAGTCAGCGACATAATAGGGGTTAGATGTGTGAGTGTATGTGTGTACCTGATACAGTCCAAAGTCCAGTCGGACTGTAGCAATATATCGAGTCTCTCTGCCACTCCTGACATCACGTCGAGCTGTAGGTCATGCCAGCGTCCATCACACACCTGAACCTGATCCAGTCTCAACCTGACTGGCCGAGTTGAACCCCGTGCCACAGAAAACACCAACTGACCCGAAACCACCTGGAATCAGACACATACAAATCAGGGTTTTAATAATTAACCATTACTCAATTTCATTTATTGTTTGCATAGGATATGAGAGCTAATTGTCTTTAGCTCTTTGAAGTAGACAATTATTATTGAGGATAATTGTCTACTTCAAAGTGCTATAGGAAGTCAAGCTAGCTTTATTTAATTAACACTGTGCTTCTAGTGAAAATGTTTGTTTCCAAAACAGATCATGTTTTCCTTTCATCGGGCTCTTAATTATTTCAGACATTTCTTGGAATATCTGAAGGCAAACAAGCCCAGGATTTTCCTTAATGCCAGAGAGCAATACTTGATCATCTAATCATCTGGAGCTCGGCGCATAATTGTCTACTTCAAAGTGCTATAGGAAGTCAAGCTAGCATTATTTAATAAACACTGTGCTTCTAGTGAAAATGTTTGTTTCCAAAACAGATCATGTTTTCCTTTCATCGGGCTCTTAATTATTTCAGACATTTCTTGGAATATCTGAAGGCAAACAAGCCCAGGATTTTCCTTAATGCCAGAGAGCAATAGAATAGTATAGCTTTTACACAGGAGGAATAACTTGGTTCATAATTTATGGAGGCTTCAATCCTTTGATTCTACTTGCCTTTAATGAAAATTTGTGTCATTGTTTTATTAAATGAAGATGAAATAGTTATAAAAAATAGTAATAAATTAAAAAACTACAACTGAAACAATTGTAATTAAAATAAAAATTGTAATAACTTCCTCTTTCCACCAATTAGATTATCTAATTTAAAGAAAAAACAGTTATGATTGTTTCAAATTTAAATTATATGTAAAAGTAAACTTAAATGTAAACATTATTATCAAATTATAATTATAAAAATAAAAATTATTATTAATTTTGCTTTGGTGGCCAAACATTTCACCTGATTGGCTCCAGAAAACAAACAAATAAATAAATAAATAAATCAATCAATCAATACAACAAAGAAAGTCTAATAATTCAAAATGTCAAATTGAACAATTTGAAATGTCAACTTTTCCTTTCTGTGTGCATTACTGAATGTTACTCAGTGTGTTTGTAAGTGTGCATACCTGAAAGATCAAGTTGGTGTATTGTCCAGCTTGAGCCTGCAGGAGAACTCCCTCTTTTGATCTGGTGCGGAACACCAGCCCCATGTACCAGGGCGTAGTGATGGAGACTTCATTTTTCAAGTCCCACCACAGCGCACTGTTTCCAAGGAAACGATGAGGGTGGGACATCACTGTGAAAGAATCATTCCAACACCACGATCATCATGGCATTAACATTTAGTAATAGTTCCTGTTTGATACTGGCATTCTGATTTAATATTCACTTAAAGATCAACAGAGAAATATTTGATGTATTTATGGGTTTTGTATTTTTATGTGGGTCTCACCTAAGCTGCAGTCCTTCCCTCCAAATCCAACAGGGCAATCACAGGAGTATGTTTCCCAGCTCTCCCTACATGTGCCGCCATTCTGGCATGGGTTTGATTTACAGAAAGGCAGTTTGGCACTGCAGCCTAATACAGACAGAGAGCATTACCTCACAACTGCTGCAGTCAATCACAGAAACATCACAATCAGCATAATAACAAACAATAATAAGGCAAAATAACCACAAATGCTCACAGAATTCTACAATACCATTCAAAACGTTTTTAAAAACAAGTCTCTTATGCTCACCATTTATTTGATACTGTAAAAATAGTAAAATTGTGAACTATTTTTAGCATTTAAGATTTATATGTTTTAATATGTAATTTATTCCTGTGATGGCAAAGTTTCAGTGACACATGATCCTTCAGAAATCATTCTAATATGATCATTTGCTGCTGAAACATTTCTTATTAGTATATGTTGAAACAGTTGTTCTGCTTAATATTTTTAAGGAAACTGTGATTCTTGGATGAATGGAAAGTTTGAAAGATCATCATTTCATTTTTTTTTTTTTACAATGTTACTTTTGATTAATGATTTTTCGATTCATTTCTATCAAACCAAAAATTCTTACTCCAAACTTTTGAATGGTAGTGTATGTTGACATCATGAGAGTCAATCACAAATACAGGATCAACACACTGTAAACAATCACACACACACCAGGTAAAGTGCCATTATTAGCGATGAATCCTGCCATGTCCACTGGTCTGTTATCAATGTGCAGGTCTTTCATGCAGCCAATAAATTCTCTTGTACTAAACGGGAAATTCTCAGGCAGGTTAGGAACTCCACCCAAAAACAACGGGCCAGTCAGATCCAAAGACCTGTGAGAAAAAAAACACAGAAGGAGAGAATGAGAGAGATGATAAATGTGTTCTCCTGAGAACACACATCCAACACTTTTCAAGTGTACATATATAAATGTGTATATATGACGGTGTGCGCACTCACTTTTTGCTGCTGGTCTGTCTTCCCTGTGCAGCACAGCTGTAGTTGCCGAGCTGAGCGCCAAACCTCAGAGAAACGGCTGTGTCACAGTCATCTACACTCAAGACAGCGACCTTCTCATCAGACGGACCCTGAACGTCACCGCTCACACTACGCTTTGGCTAGATACAAGCACAAACCAGTCCTCATAAGTACACAAAGCACATGACACATTCTGAATACACAATAACAACTGTTACAAAAAGCTCCTTTAGTATCTAGGAGCTATAATCTACAGAGGAAGTATATAGGGAGTCTATAATATCAGAGGAATAGTTAACAATTTAGGAGGCAAACTTCTTCAGAGGACCTTCTCACCTTGTTGTAGTAGTGGATGTGAACGGTGTGCCAGCTGCCATCACTCACTCTGTCAGGCAGGTATGGACTCACCTGAGTAGATGACTCACCTGTGCAAGTCACACAGAGATTCACACCACATCAGAATTACCCATTTCATATTATATTATAATCCCATATTAAGATCATAGATGGGTCCAGGATTTATTTAAACTCTCTGAATACACAAATCCCCCACCCCCCTCTTTTTTTTTTTTTTTTTTTTTTTTTTGAAAGTCTCTTCTGCTCACCAAGACTACATGTATTTATTAAAAACACAGTAAACACTGTAATATTGTGAAATATTGTAAATTTTAATGATCTAGTGGAGTATTTAAGAACCATTTGTCCATCCAGTATCTCCAAAGCAAGGAAGTCGTGCTTCTCATTAAACCGACCGTTGTAGAAGAGCAAACCATTACTTTCCAATGTGGCAAACCTACAAAACACATTTAATGCTCATCAAAGATCTGGAATGACTCCATATAGGTCCATTTAGAGTTTTATAATGTGATGTCCGCAAAACTGAGAAGAGTACACTCAGCATAAAATGATCTCTAAAGTAATCCCACTTGATATCTAGACAACATAGGAAGTTTTCATGGCAGTGGTTCAGCAAACAATATCCATTAAAACTTTCAAAGTCAAAAAGTATGCACATTTATAGTAATATTGATGGGTTCTTATATGTTTACTTCACATTTCTGTTATTCATGTAAATCTTTCATTAAATTATGAACTTTCAACATATTTCAGCACTGAAGCACTCTCTTAGGATGCACATAAGATGAAAGTCAGAATAATAATTTTTCTTTTTGCTACATAAATTTATAGCTGGCACGTCCTCTCTGGAGAGCAAACAGATTCACTTTAAACATCTTTTAGTTTGGTCAAGACAAAACGCTGACAAAAGGCCTGAGCTGTGAGAGAGATGGCCCTTGTTTATGCTCTACTGAGCAAAGACTTTTAGATTTAAAAGAGTTTTTTATAGGACATGGTCAGTCTCTAAATTGCACACTGTAGCACAATGGTTATCTTTTGGTGCAGAGAGGCAAGACTTTAACCGAGAGAAAGAGAAGGATTTCATATTCTAGCGTGTCTAGGGAGATGAGAGAAGGTTGTGCCCTTTCTGGATGTGTTGATATTTGACCATGTTAATAAATAAAATAGCTATGTTTTAGCCACTCTGGAGATTACAACAAACAACCATTATATTACCTCTGTGCCACAGCAGCCAAACCCTGACCAATCGCATCAAACACATGACCAGAAAATAGCACTCACAAGGGAAAGGAAAAAACCAGAACAGGATGAAAGAAGAGAAAGAGTGCTAAAGAGCTTTTCTTATGAGAGAGTATGAAAGCGAGAGGAGAGAACATAAGAAACAGATCACGGAGGAGAAAATAAGATTTATGATATTTACATATATAATATTTAAAAGTGTGGGAAAGAGTGGTAATATTTTATATTATTACTATTTTTAAATAATTTCTCCTATCTAAAAAAAAAAAACTCTTTAAATCATAAATCATACTACTCTAAAAAGAAAATCTTGGTCATCTCTGTCAAAATGTTGGACTTGACATGACCTAAGACCAGATAACAGGTGTGTCAATGTGTGTACTCACGAGAGAGAGATGGAGAGGTGGAATCGTTGACGGAGCCCCCTGAACATCATGAATGATTTTGGCGGAAAGGATCTGGTGGTGACAGAGCAATATGGCTTCTCATAACCTCCTGCAGGACACTCACACCTGAATCCCCCTCCGGAGAGCTCACGACATGTACCGCCGTTACGACATATGCCTGCCACACACTGGCCACCACGCCGGTCAAACTCACAACGCTCCCCTGAGACAGACAAAGAAAACAGGAAATTTTAAATACACACATGCACACGTTGATATACACTTATTCAATTCAATCTTACTCCTTTATATTGTTTAACTGTGAAAATTGTACTGCACTACAAAAATTAGGTGCTGATCTTTTTAAAGATAATAATAAAAAAAACACTAATAAAATAATAACATTGTTAAAGTTGGCATGAAACTGAAATCTATGGAATCTTCTGATCTTATACTTCTTAAATCATTTAGTTTGCAAGCCCAATGCAAGCTCACAGTCAGCTATTATTTTATTTAGACCACAATCAAATTATTTTACAGGTTGAAAAATATAAGTTACTAAATGTGACAACAACAAAAAAACCATCAACAAAAATTTAAATCAACCTGGCAAACATTCTAAAACGCAACCTAATAATTATTCATGCCCTAGCCTAGTGCATGCTGGGAATAAGGAGTGAATTGGACCAAATCACATAACCATTTTTACGAAGTTCTATTTTTACTTGATACAAGAATCATTTCACACAGCATTATGTATAATATTAAGAGCTGAACATTAATGACTGTATTTTTATCAGTCTGTAAGACACATTGGGATAAAATTCCTATAAATTGTACCATCAGTGTATCAGCAGGGGTCTATCTTACGCACACACATACTTCGTTAGTGATGTGTAGAAGCTCTGTAAAAACTTGTAGACGGGAATGTCCCAATGGACCAATAACAGACACACACACACACACACACACACACACACACTACATAAAGCAGCTTGTTGTTTGGGTTTTGAAACATCAGCAGATCCTGCCCTTAGGCTTTATGATGCTGAGCCAAATGTGAGCCAGATTCTGGAGCTGTGATGTTTCAGCATTGTATTGGTGAGCCTCTGGCAACAGTTAATTAAAGCACGTTAATGTGCATGGCGTGTACAAACCTCTGGCACAGACACACATGTAGACATCTCCGTCTCCCTTTAGTGGGTGTGAAAATACTGCCTTTAAAAGCACTTCAAACTTTGACCCACCACAGAAATACACACACAAAGCAAAATGCCTTAGGACACACATATGGATAGACACACACCACAGGCAAAAAAATACCATTAATGTTTACAAGATAGTAACTGCTCACTGCAAACCAGCTACAGATACAAACACACACACACACACACACACACACACACCAAAACCCTCAAGACACATGGACTCAAGAATTTAGAGAAGCTCAGTCCAGCCTTTATCCTACTGGCTACTTAGACTGAGAGTTATTTGCATATTCAACAAGAGGTATTAGCATATTCATCATAGCTTACAAACATATCACCTGCAAAGGGAAAAGGATTTTAGCACACATTCCTCTTGACAGCACCAAACTGAATATTCAAAAGCCATATAAAATACGTTGCTGTGCAGAAAATAAAAATACATAAGCAGGTCAAAGGCCTCTGAATACCAACTGAATTGAACTTTTCTGACTAACTAAAATCATAAATTGGGGAATAGGGAATAACTAATGCCTAAAATAACTAATGATAAATTAATATACTAAAAGATTCTAAAGAAGCATTAAATCTGACCAACGTCCCCTTGAGCTAAAGACAGATATTACAGCATTACAATTTAACTAAACCCATTAGACTTAGTCAACTAAATCTTATGACAACTAAAACTAAACTAAAATAATTCAAATGTCTAAAATATGACTAAAACTAAATGGCATTTAAGTCAGAACTAAATCAAAATTTGCTGTCAAAATGAACACTGCTAGCAACAATCCAACATTCCCTAGAAACTGAATAGTATAATATATATTTTGGGGGGGGGGATCAGAATGTATGATTATTCTGCATAATTACATAGTTTCTTGTCAGTAGTGGTGCTGATTGTATAACAGTGTTCTGATATTGCAAGATGTATCATTTGAATTGAATTAAATGGCTTTTAGAATGTTTTATTATTTAACATGTCTCATAATCCCTTTTCAAAGTGTATGCCCCTGGCTCTAGTTAAACCATATGGACTGTCTGACATGAACACAAGCAATTCTGAGAAAACATTTCACACTGACTGCTCCTGCACACAGAGCCCTTCCTGACACACATTCAGAGACCTACAGCAATTTCTTTAAACTCCTCAACCAGAACTGCCAGAAACACACACAAACAACTTGAACATAAACATAACATGTTCAAACTCAAAAATACAAACACTCTTTCTGTGTTCAATGAGGTATAAAGTTCTCATCCTAAAGTCCAAGAACAAACAGAGAAAAATAGAACTGTCTTCACATATCCACAACAAATACAAGTGATGGCACACAGAGATATTCACCTACATATACGATAAGAGCATTCAAGCGCAGTTATCTCTACATGGACAGGTGAGCTTTTAGGAACACACATGCTCTCCAATACACAAACTTGCACAACGCTTGCTTAAACAAATCTCCATTGATTCTCAGCTGACTCTAAATCATGTAAAAACCAGCAGGGAAAGGCTTTAAAACCCTCTCTGCAAATATCTCTCCATCTTTAGTCTCTCTATCTTCAGTCTCTAGATACTTTTGTCCTTTTATATTTGTGTCAGGTGTTCGCTCTCTCTCTTTTCTCCAGCTGTTCACTTCCTGACTTACTATTAAGAGCACTTCTCCCTCTTTCTTCCCCTCTCTTTCTCTACCAGTTTCGCTCTCCTCCACTGCACCTATCCACTCCATCCCCTCAGAATATTTGGTAATGTATTCTCTCCCCTTCGTTCAAATGATGTTTAATTCATCAAAGCTATTCTTCTCCTCTTGGGCTAAACCACCCTCTCTACCCAACCCCCACCACACACATGGTACGGCCCTCGGGGGATCCTGTATCTGCCCCTGCTTTCCTCCTTCCGTTGGATTTCTTTTTCTCTCTTTCACTTTCTCTCATACTGCAGCGCTTGTATTACTAAGAGTTGCTCATTTAACTTCAGACTGACTTCACTGCTGAGAGTTTAGGTCAGTTTAACCCCCATGGCCACACATATACACTGAAAAACAAACTGGTTAGCGGTTGTGCTGTACCACTAGTCGCCACCGTCTAGTTTCAGCATCAGATGGTGTGCCCACAGACCGCTCACAGCTCTTTCACTGGCCATCTGATGCATATTTCACAGAAAACTGGCATCGTTTGATTGGCAGGCTGCTGCATAATTTTCAAGTGCTTTTTTGAAAGAACTAGTAGCTGGATTTGGAAACACTGAAGACGCTCATGGCCAGGGCTGGGTTGAAATATTGATTTTCCTATTTATCGTGATATTCCTTTGAAAGATTTCAATACTGAGTCTTTAAATGGCAAGATCGATTGCTCACACCATGACTATTTATTTTTTAGCAAGTCTATTTATAGGTAAGTCTATATATTTTACCCGTATTTGCAGTCCAAATGTATGGGGGACTAGGAAGGATAATTTAGAAATTAAGAAATAAGTTATCAAATTGATAATTTAAACATAATAAGAAATAAATATATATTTTTTTATTATGTAATAAATGTTATTATGGTTTATATAATAAATGTTTAAAAAAGAAGATAAATAATAAATTAATAAATCATGTTTAAACTGCAAAATACATATTTATTGCCATTTACTTTTCTTTGTCCATTTGCTGATTGCTTTTCTTTGTTGTTTTGTCAAATGCTTTACTTTATCCATTAGCCAATCAAGTAAACAACAAAAAAAGCCATTTGGCAGACCAATCATGGGGGCAACCAACCAACTTTTGACTTTTGACACATGCCACTCAATTTTTAATCATTTTATACATAGTTATCCTGTTAGTGTTCCACTGTACCACCCACAGTACACTGCATGTTTTTTGAGAGTTACCTTTGTGGCATATCTTTGGAAAGCTGAGAGTCGAATGATTGTGATTCAATTGTGATTCGAATGATGCAAACCATTTTAAGATACAATCAACACAGCAGTTACAATCAGTGTCTTTGTCAGACCGCCAACAAGGCTTCATGCTGTGAGCCCATTGTGTTTTCCAGCTAATAGCTCCCAGCTATAGTCATCTGCAGGCATCTGTTTACAAATGTAGGCAGAATGTTTTTTCCCCCTTTTTCAGTGTGTTAAAAGTTCTATTATTCAATACCAGAAAGACTTACAGTGACACTCTAAGGTGTCCTAGTTGTCCTAAACAGAACAAACCTCAGAGTGTCACCTTTCAAAAGAGACCAAAACCATGCAAATACTCCAAAAGGTTCAAGAACAGCATGCAATTTACTTTGGGTATGCCTTTTTAGGCATTTTAGGCAAATTTTACAGGAATAACAAGAGGTTAAAAAAAACTTTGTTTTTTTAAATATTTTTTTTATTTTCATAATAAATGCAAATTAAAAATGTATATCCACAGTTGGTATCCACAGAGCAGTTTTTGTTTATAGATTATTTATATTTGACAGTTTGACAAAAATTATTAAATAAATTCACATTTTTGTCATTTACCAAGCAAGAAGGATCCTTGAAGGGTTAGTTTACCCAAAAATGAAAATTAGCCCACAAATTACTCACCCTCAAGTCATCCTAGGTGTATATGACTTTCTTCTTTCAGACGAATCCAGTCGGAGTTATATAAAAAATTTTCTTTCT